AGGCAGGCGGTGCCTCATCGAGCCAGGTGCCTCATAATCTTCTTGCCGCAGACTGATAGCACAACACCCTCCAGAGCGTCATGGCACTGATAATCGAATGATACGGTTTGCTGTGCCACTTCTTTACAAACCAACTGAACACAAACTGGGATTGAAACGTGTATCAGAGCGGTACTGCTGGGCGCTGCGGTACATTCTGCGTTGCCTCATCGAGCCAGAGCTTCATGATTTCCTTGTCACGCACGGATAGCACAGCACCCCCTAAAGCGTCAAGGGCACGGATAATTGACTGAGCTATGGTTCGTTGTTCACCCTCTTTGCAAGCCAGCTGAACACACGCTTGGACAGAGACTGGTACAAGAGCGGCAATGCTGAGCACTGCGGTGCAACCCACGGCGCAAAAAGGATAACCTTGTCATCACAAACAAGGCTCACATATTTGACCAGGATGAACTCCAAAAATATGCTCATTGTTCTGCCCCGCACGGGAAGCACAGCGCCTTCCAAAGCTGAACATAAGCTGGGACAGAGACTGGTACGTATACGAACGGTCCACATAAACAATGCGGTGCAACCTACGGTGCCTCATCGAACCAAATGCCTCCTGACAATATGGTCGCGCACGGATAGCGCTGCAATCCGTGAAGCGTCAAGGGCACCGAGAATTGAATGAGCCATGGTTTGTTGCGCAACCTCTTTACAAGCCAGCTGAACACAAGCTGGGACAGAAACTAGTATAGGAGCGAACTGCTGAGCACTGCGGTGCAACTCACGGTGCATCATCGCTCCAAATGCCTCTTGATTTTCTCGCCACATGGATAGCACTGCACCCCGTGAAGCGTCGAGGGCACTGAGAATTGAACGAGCCATGGCTTGCTGTGCTACAGGCTGGTACAAACGCGGCACTGCTGCGCATTGCGGCGCAATTCACTGTTCCTCGTCGAGCCTGATGCCTCATGATTTCCTTGTCGCACACGAGTAGCACAGCACGACCTAAAACGTCAAGAGCAATGAGAATTGAACGAACCATGGTTTGCTGTGCCACCTCTTTGCGAAGCCAGCTGAATACAAGCTGGGGCAGAAGCTGGCCCAAGAGTGGTATGGATGATGACTGCGGAATGTTTTACGCTGCCTCTTTGAGCCGGATGTGCCGGAGACCTCATTATCTTCCTGTCGCGCACGGATAGCACAGCAACCCCTGAAGCATCAAGGGCACTGAGAATTAAATGAGCGATGGGTTGCTGTGCCACCACTGTACCAGCCAACAGAACAAAGCCTGGGACAAAGGCTGGTGTACGAGTGGCGCTGCTGAGCACTGCGGTGCAACCCACGGTGCCCCATCGAGCCAGATGCCTGTTGACTTCCTTGTCGCACACGCGTAGCACAGCACGGCACTGAGAACTGAATGAGCTATGGTCTGCTATACCACCTTTTTACAAGCCAGCTGCACACAAGATGGGACAGAGGCTGGTAGAAGAGCGGCGCTGCTGAGCCCTGCGGTGCAACCCTCGGTGCCTCATCGAGCCAGATGCCTCATGGTAGTCTTGTCGCACACGGAGAGCGCAGCACCCTCTGAAGCGTCAAGGGCGCTGAGAATTGAATGAGCCACGGCTCGCTGTGCGTCCTGTTTACGAGCAAACTGCACAGAAGCTAGGACAGAGGCGGGTGCAAGAGCCGCGCTGATGAGCTCTGCGGTGAAGACCACAGATCCTCATGGAGCCGGAATCGTCATGATTCTGTCTTGTCGCACACGGATACCACAGCACCCGCGAAAGCGTCAAGGGCGCTGAGAATTGAATGAGCTATGGTTCGCTGCGCCACCCCTTCACGAGCCAACTGAACAGAAGTTAGGACAGAGGCTGGTATAAGAGCCGCGCTGATGAGCTCTGCGGTGCAACCCACAGAGCCTGCCTCATCGAGCCAGATGGTCCCAAGACGTTGAATGTCTTTGAACATACAGGAGGGCCAATCTAGCCTTAGGTCGGGCTTGTCCCCCTACAGGCGGAGGTTCGACGAAAAATAAAGCATCGACAACAAATATTCAACAAATGTCTAATATAGCCAGAAAATCGTCACCACACTATTTTCTAAACTATTTTGGAATGTTCCTCCTGTAGACGGACAGGCCCGACTTAAATCTAGCCCCAATGTGCGAATGCCTTTAGGGCTGGCTCCTTGCCTCTTCGCCCCATCCGCTGCCGCGAGAAGCTAGGGCCGTCAACGGCGCTCCAACAGGAGGCTCATTTTTTCAGATTGCCGAGTACGATTCGCAAGAAAAAGACGTCCTCCTTCTTCGTGCCACTGCATGTTAGGAAGCAGCTCCTGGGAGGTCTTCGTAAGAACGATTGCGAAAGCTAGGAAACCCGATTAAGGGGCCATTGAAACAGACCAACATTAAAAGGATCGAGCCTGCCATTGGATGGGAGTATACTGGTGCGGGCCAGTTTTCCACCACAGATGTGCCAGCGCCGACGCTGAATTTAGCCTCCTCGGAGTTGCATCCTAAACTGTATGCCCCTACTCATCCATGACCAAGCCAACTCGCCGAATCATCGTTGGTGTATGGGTTGGTGGGGATACGCGAAGCGTCACCCTGCCGTCGATCGGTTCTTGAAGTCTTCGGTGGAATTCTGAGACTTGCGGCAAGAGATGGAACACGCCGCGCACAGATAGCACATATAGCTCAGAATCCCCCCAAGCTCTACGGGCACTGAGGATTACATGACCTGTGGTTGATGTACCACCTCTTTACAAGCCAGCTGAACACAAACTGGGACAGAGGCTGGTATAAGAACGGCTCTGCTTAGCGCTGCTTCGAACCTCCCCCCGCGGCGCAAATCGGGTTCACCGTGTCTTCACCAACACTGACCCACCGACCCGGCCAGTATGAGCTCTGACAATACTCATGCTCGAGTAGCCTCGTCGCATTGCTTGTCTCATGGACTTTGCTGCACACGGAAAGCACAGCAACCCCCAAAGCTTCACGGGCACTGATAATTGAATGAGCTATGAGTTGGTATACCACGACATTCCAGGCCAACTGAACACAAGCTGGAGTAGAAGCTGGTATGAGAGCGGCACTGCTTAGCACTGCTATGCAACCCCCGACGCAGATGGGGCGAACCAAATCATCACAAAGAACGACCAATCGACCATACCACAATGAGCTCCGAACTGATGTGCCTCGTCGTGTCGGATGCAACATGTTTTTTGTCGCACGCGGATAGCACATAACCCCCAAAGCGTCAGGGGCACTGAGAATCGAATGGAAGATGGTTCGATGCACCGCCTCTTCACAGACCAACTGAACACAAACTGGGACAGAAGCTGGTGTAAGAGCGGCGGTGATTGCCACTCCCATGCAACCCGTGACACGGATGGGGTTCACCATATCACCATCAACAGTGACCACCCGACCTAGCCAGGGTGACCTTCGACACTATGCACGCATTATTTGCTGTATCAAATGCCTCATGTCTCTTCTCGCGCACGGATCGCACAGAAGCCCCGAAGCGTCAAAGGTACTGAGAGTTGATTGACCAGTAGTTTGGTACGCCACTTATCTAAGAACCAAATGACCACAGGCTGGGACAGAGGCTGATGAAAGAGCGGCACTGCTTAGCACTGCTATGCAACCCACGACGCAGATGGGGCGAACCAGATCATCACAAACAACGGCCAATCGACCATACCACAATGAGCTCCGAACATTTGCATGCGTGATGTGCCTCGCCGTGTCGGATGTCGCATGGGTTTCTTGCCGCACGCGGATAGCACAGCACCCCCCTAAAACGTAAAGGGAACAGATAATTGAACGAGCTATGGTTTACGCTACGCCACCTCTTTACAAGCCAACTGAACACAAACTTGGACACAGGCTGGTATGAGCGCGGCGCTACTCAACACTGGAACACCGCCAACGACGCACATCAGAAGAGCCATATATCCAACAACAATGAAAGAGCTAACCGATCATGACGAACTCCGGCAATCTGCATGTCTCCACCCTCCTCGCCCTCTTCCCCCCCCTCGTCCCTCCTCGCCCCTCCTCCCCACCCGCCACTCGCTCACGCTCCTCCTCCGCCTCTTCTTCCTCCTCCTCCTCCTCCTCCTCCTCCTCCTCCTCCTCCTCCCCATCATCATCATCATCATCATCATCATCATCATCATCATCATCATCATCATCATCATCATCATCATCATCATCATCATCACCACCATCATCATCATCATCATCATCATCATCATCATCATCATCACTTCATCATCATCATCATCATCATCATCATCATCATCAAAATCACCATCTTCATCCTCACCACCACCAGCATCACCACCACCACCACCATCATCACCACCATCACCATCATCATTATCCTCATCAGCATCATCGGCATAATCACCATCATCACCAGCATCACCACCATCATCATCATCATCGTCATCATCACCACCATCATCATCGTCATTATCATCCTCATCATCCTCATCATCACTATCATCATCACTATCATCATCATCATCATCATCATCAGCAGCAGCAGCAGCAGCAGCAGCATCACCAGCATCATCATCAGCAACATCGTCACCATCATCATCCTCATCATCAGCAGCATCGTCACCATCAGCGTAATCAGCATCATCATCAGCATCAACATCATCAGCATCATCATCAGCATCATCATCCTCATCCTCATCCTCATCCTCATCAGCATCATCAGCATCATCAGCAACATCATCATCATCATCATCATCATCATCATCATCATCATCATCATAAGCATCATCATCATCATCATCACCATCACCATCACCATCACCATCACCATCATCATCATCATCATCATCATCATCATCATCATCATCATCATCATCGCCCGTCCTCCTCGTCATCCTCTCCCACCCCTCCCCTCCTCGTGCTCTCCTCCGCCCCTACTCCTCCCTCCTTTCCCCCTCCCCACCCATCGTCGGTCACCCCCCCCTCCCCCCCTTCGTCCCGCCTAGTATGTTGTTCTGGAAGCACCAGTCACCGCCTCGGTGCGCAGAGGAGAAGGAAGACGAGGGGCCGCGGGAGCAAAAGCGGGGAGGGGCCCTCCTCCTCCTCCTCCTCCTCCTCCTCTTCCTTCTACTTTCTCCCCCTCCTCAGGGAGGTTCGCAAGGGGAAGGACTTGTGCTTCCTAGCGAGAATAAACAGGACAACCAGATCGAGAAATCCGCTGCCCCCCAGGAGGGCTACGCCGTATGGTGCGATTCACGGACAAGCGAGCATCACGAGACACTTGGATTGCAAGTCGTAACAAAACATCGCATCGCGATGAGAGGAACTCAGTGACAGTCTAAGCGGCCTGAGCTGGGACCAGCCAGAGCGACCAGCAAACTGACGACAAGACTCCAAGGAGGAGGGAAAAAACATAGGAGGAGGAGGAGGAGAAGGAGGAGGAGGAGGAGGAGAAGGAGGAGGAGGAGGAGAAGAAAAAGAGGAACGGCTAACAGAGTCAATAGCTCGCGCGTGCGTAGGCCATCCCGTGTGGACGGCGCCCGCACAAAAGCCCTCGCGAGCCCAAGCGAGGCATAGTATGGCATAGTGGAGGGGAGGGGAACGACACTGCAGACATTGAGACTGCCGACCCAGCAGCGACGGCGAAACGCCCTGACGAACTGTTAAATCCAGCAGCAGATAGGGGCATCAGGAATGAGCATTCGCGCGAAGCGCATGACCTTGCGCGAGTTCTCGAACTAGTGAAGAGCACCAGACCGAAAAGAGCAAGGCCTATGGCAGCCATTGCGCGCGACTGGGGCGGCTCCCCGGACAAGGAGTGGCCTACAGGCACGAGTAGAAGAGTGCACAAGAGCGGCCCCGCTCCGACAGGCGGCCGGGGTCATGCGGATTCCCTGCATTCAAACACGGGTGGCACTCACCCAATACTGCATACGTGCGGTACCAGAGGGCCGGCAGGAGCAAGGAGGGTGGAGAGGGGAGGATTCCAGCATCCTCCGCCTGACCGTTTGTCCAGATTTGAACATCGTTTGCCCGATCCCCATCCCCAGCGGCGCGGCCTGGGCCCTGCTGGCCGACTTGCCCCCCTACATGGGGATATATAGGTCGTGCTCTTCGGGTTTCGAGGGGTGTATCCCCACGTGGGGTGGTAATTTGGTGGGGGTCTCGAGGGTGATGGAGATGGGGGATGGGGATCGGTTAAAGATCTGAAGCTCCAACCTCCGGGGGACACGAGGACGAGACAGGCAGAGGAGCCGATCACAGTGGGCTTGGCGGCCGCTCCCGCTCCGCCTCTGGGAGTCCGGGAAACTCCACCCTGCTCTTCCTCCTCCTCCTCCTCCCGCTATTTCCCGCTATTTGACGCGCCATAAGGGTCTGTGCCGTGAAGCGCAGCCCCTGTCCTCCTCCTCCTCCTCCTCCTCCTCCTCCTCCTCCTCCTCCTCCCTGTCCTCCTCCAGCTCCTCCTCCTCCTCCTCCTCCTCCTCGTCCTCCTCCTGTTCTTTCTCCCCCTCCACCTTCCTCTCTCCTCCTCTTCCTCCTCCTCCTCCCTCCTCCTCCTCCTCCTCCTCTCCTCCTCCTCCCTCCTCCCTCCTCCTCCTCCTCCTCCTCCTCCTCCCTCCTCCCCCTCCCTCCTCCCTCCTCCCTCCTCCCTCCTCCTCCTCCTCCCTCCTCCCTCCTCCTCCTCCCTCCTCCCTCCTCCTCCTCCTCCTCCTCCTCCTCCTCCTCCTCCTCCTCCTCCTCCTCCTCCTCCTCCTCCTCCTCGCGCGGGAGAAAAGAGACGAGGGGAAGGACGAGGATGATGGAACGGAGAGGAACCCTTCGCGCCACACATCGCTGAGGACACTCGAATGCAACCTTCTCCGGTTGGCGTGAACTCAGAGGAAAAAGCTTAGGGGGATATCATACGAATACTGTATCCTGATAGAACCGGGAAGGGCACCTCCAAGCGGATGCTGAGTGAAGCGTGCCACGCAGACCATCGGCCACGCAGCCGGGGCAGAGGAAAAAAGGCCCAAGGCTAAGGCGAAGTCAGGACGAAGATACCATGGGGGGAAGATACATCGAAACTCTCTGAGACCCGGCGGCTCTGGAAGATGCCTCGGGCACCGCGGTCCTCTCAGAGCGTTCCGGAACGCTCTGAGAGCGTTCTGGAACGCCCTGGAACGGATCGATCCCCGTCCCAGCCCCGTCCTAAAGGCGTTGAACTCACCAGGTGATCGGTGCGCGGCCTCCGCCGAAGTCTCCACCGGGTGTCCTTGTGCGGACGGGCCCTCTGGCCGGCCTGCGCGAAAGCCGTGCGTGTGCCGTGCAGGGAGGGAGACGCGAGGAGGCAGGAGGGCACGGCGGACGGGAGCGAGGAATGGAGGCACGCCCTCCACCGAGCGCCACGGGTGCCGCTCCAGCCCTCAGGGCGGCCGCGACTCGACGGCGCCGCGAAGTCAACGGGGATGCAGGGAACAGACGGGGAGGCCGGCCGAGGGGAGGGGCGGCCGAGGGGGGAATGTGCCCCCATGGCGGGCGTGGCTTACGCGGCTCCTGCCCTCCAGGCGTGGCGTGCTTCGCTGGCACTGCGCCTCAAACGGGGAGGAGGACGGCACAGCCCACCTCCACCCCCGGCCAGGACCCCCACTCCCGACCTGGTGATCCAGGAGGCCCTGGCTTCGGGTGGGGGTGCTTTTGGGGGCGGGGGGGGGCTCTTGGGGGCCAGAAGTCTGTCCCCACTCTCAGCCAGGACGCCCTGGATCGCCAGGTCGGTAGTGGGTGTCCTGGCTGGGGGATGGGGGTGGATTGTCCCCAGGGGCGGAGGGGAGGGGAGGATTAACGACAACGAGGAGGCGGGGCGACAGGCACTGCCCCGAGGAGCGCCCGGGGCCGCGAGGCCCCCGTGGTGGGCAGAGATGCGCGCAGAGAGGCTACGAGTGCAGTCCTGCGCTACCCAGGCACCAGCGACTAGACGCGGGGGGAGGCGGGGAAAGAAGCGATTATAGGGGCTGTACAGGGGCGAGGCTGACTGTGGACCCCACCTGTCTTTGATCTATGTTCTCTAAGATGGCCTTAAGATGGCCTCCTAGGCTCCCGAGAGTGCCCCAAGAGGGCCCACAAAGGCTCCCAAGAGGCCCCAAGAGGCCCACAAGAGGTCCACAAGAGGCTGCCAAGAGACCCCCCAAGAGGCACCAAGAGGCTCCCCCGAGGCACCCAAGACGCTCCACGGGGCCTCCAGGCCCGCCATGAGGCCACCAAGATGCCCCAAGAGGACTTCAAGGAACTCTCAAGAGACATCCGAAGATACTCCAAGAGGCATCCAGGAGGCCTCTGATCTGTTTGCTTGCCCTCCTCCTCTTCCTCCTCCTCCTCCGCCTATTCCTCTTTCCCTCCTCCCTCCTCCTGCTCCACAAGGCGATGCGGAGTTTGACGCTTCCTCCTGCCGAGTCGATCCGATCCCCCCCTTCCCCTGCCTCCTCCTCCTCCTTCTCCTCCTCCTTAGCCTCATCCTTATCCTCGTCCTCGTACTCGTCCTCGTCCTCCTCCTCCTCCTCCTCCTCCTCCTCCTCATCGTCCTCGTCATCGTCCTCGTCCTCCTCCTCCTCCTCCTCCTCCTCCTCCTCCTCCTCCTCCTCCTCCTCCTCCTCCTCCTCCTCCTCCTCCTCCTCCTCCTCCTCCTCCCCCTCTTCCTCCTCATCCTGGTCCTCCCCACCATCGCCACCACCACCAGCCTCACCATCGGACGCTGCCTGACACAGGGTGCATCCATGCCTCTCCGGCTCGCGACGCCTGCCCGAGGCATCCCGGGCCGTCCGCGCGCCGAGGAGGCGCGTTGGCGCGGCGTGGCCCACAGCAGGCCGCCGCCCAGGACGGGGCCGCGCCGCCCGGGGCCCGCGCGCTTCAGCTCGACGAAGAAGAGCGTCTGCGGGTGCTCGCTCCTGCGGCCGCCCGGGGTGGGGGGACCGCCCCGCGTCCCGCCTCCCGACCTCGAAGGCGGGGGCAGGGCGAGGCGCCGCGAGGGGGAACGATCAGGGGGGACTGGCAAGGGGGGAGAACATCGACGTGCAATCGGCGAACAAGAATCGCCGATTGATCTCGGCCATGGGCCACTCATGTTTAGCCAAAGCGCACGCTCATGGGCGGGGTGGGCTATTAGGCCCCTATTGGCAATGAATAATCGTTTGGGGGTCGATGTGTTCACCCCCGAGCCTATCCCCCCTAACGTTGCCCCTGACAAGCTGCTCTGGACTTTGGGATGTCTAGGCCAATTCCCTGAGATCTGTCTTTCGTTCCGAGCCGTCTCTTGACGGCCCTGGGGCCCGGCAAGGGCTCCCAGGGGGCGGCAACGCCGACACCCTGGCCGTCGTGTTACCTAGCGAAGACTGATAGGTTTCTAATGGGATCAAAAAAAAACATCCTGATTCCCCAGGGGGGTCTGGGCAGGATCCGGGGGATGCCGGGGAAAACCGGGAACTCCCCATTTTCACCGCCAGGAGCCACATTTTGACTGCCCGGAGCCAGCAGAACACCACTCCCAGGCCACATTTTGAACGCCCAGAACCAACTGTACGCCACTTCGTGTTCTTCGTGCTCCCAGAACACCATTCCCAGGCCACATTTTGAATGGCCGGAGCCAGCTGTAGGCCACTTCGTGTTCTTCGTGTTCCCAGAACACCACTCCCAGGCTACATTTTGAATGCCCGGAGCCAACTGTAGGCCACTTCGTGATCTTCGTCTTCCCAAAACACAATTCCCAGGCCACATTTTGAATGGCCGGAGCCAACTGTAGGCCACTTCGTGTTCTTCGTGTTCCCAGAACACCATTCCCAGGCCATATTTCGAATGGCCGGAGCCAGCTGTAGGCCACTTCGGGTTCTTCGTGTTCCCAGAACACTATTACTATACCATATTTTGATTGCCCGGAGCCAACTGTGAGGCTGAGGCTGAGGCAGGCTGAGGCTGAGGCAGGCTGAGACTGAGGCTGAGGCAGGCTCAGGCTGAGGCTGAGGCTGATGCAGGCTGAGGCTGAGAGGCTGACGCTGAGGCTGAGGCAGGCTGAGGCTGAGGCAAAGGCCGAGGCAGGCTGAGGCTGAGGCTGAGGCAAGCTGAGGCAGGCTGAGGCTAAGGCTGAAGCTGAGGCAGGCTGAGGCTGAGGCTGAGGCTGAGGCAAGCTGCGGTTGAGGCAGGCTGAGGCTGAGGCTGATGCAGGCTGAGGCTGAGGCAGGCCGAGGCTGAGGCAGGCTGAGGCTGAGGCTGAGGCCGAGGCAGGCTGAGGCTGAGATCGAGGCAGGCCGAGGCAGGCTGAGGCTGAGGCTGAAATTGAGGCAGGCTGAGGCTGAGGCTGAGGCTGTGGCTGACTCTGAGGCAAGCGCTGCGGCTGAGGCTGAGGCTGAGGCAGGCTGAGGCTGAGGCTGAGGCCGAGGCAGGCTGAGGCTGAGAGGCTGACGCTGAGGCTGAGGCAGGCTGAGGCTGAGGCTGAGGCCGAGGCAGGCTGAGGCTGCTGAGGCAGGCTGAGGCTGAGCTGAAGCTGAGGCTGAGGCTGAGGCTGTGGCTGGCTGAGGCAAGCTGCTGGCTGAGGCTGAGGCTGATGCAGGCTGAGGCTGAGGCAGGCTGAGGCTGAGGCTGAGGCAGGCTGAGGCTGAGGCTGAGGCCGAGGCAGGCTGAGGCTGAGGCCGAGGCAAAGGCTGAGGCAGGCTGAGGCTGAGGCTGAGGCTGTGGCTGAGGCTGAGGCAAGCTGCGGCTGAGGCAGGCTGAGGCTGAGGCTGATGCAGGCTGAGGCTGAGGCAGGCTGAGGCTGAGGTTGAGGCAGGCTGGGGCTGAGGCTGAGGCCGAGGCAGGCTGAGGCTGAGGCCGAGGCAAGCCGAGGCAGGCTGAGGCTGCGACTGCGAGAACATCAGAATTCTACAACTGGATTCTCACCTGAGTCTTAAGGGGAATGCTTCCAGATATGCTTATACACATCGTTGTTAGGTTGCTTTGCCGGGATATTTTTTTTGGGGGGGTGGGGCGACGAGATGAGAGGTTCAGGATTCCTGGCATCCGCCGGTATGTTTCTTTCAATCCGCGGCCCCAGAAGTCACAACCGCTTCCCCAGAGGTAGTTCTTCGTCCCAGATCCGTGTCTGAAGGTGAGCCATGATGACCCGCGCGGCCAGAGATCGAGGAAACGCCCGCCAGTGAAAAACACATTGTCAGAGATGTGGGGAGAGGTCTGAGATCTGGAGGTTACTCTGGGCTCGGAGCTGCCGCCCTGGATCGTGAAGGGCTTGACGACTTCTGCTGTCCCTCGGTTCGCACTGAACCTTCCACGACATGTTCCTGGCTTACCTGGATATCTTTGGACTCACCTGGATCTATCTGGAATTACCTCGATGTAGCGTGGACCGAACAGTTAAGTTAAAGCGAAACCGAATTTGTAGCATTCGAACTCGCCGTTCAAAAAGATGGAGCACGGCCCAGACAACAACGACCACAACTTAAACACAATGCTTCCGATGTTCGAGCTTATTTGTTTGATTTCCAAAGACAGTCGCCGATCATGCCCAGCCGGAAACTCGTGGCCTTTGAACGGCAACATTCCGACGTTCTGAATTGTTTTCGCGTCAAAGTTGTTTTCATCCACGGTATCTGGGCAAACTTCGATTTACTTCGATTTACCTTGGTGGATCCCCGCGAATGAACTGAAGCAAACCGTCAAGCCCTCATGGACGGGACGGCGCCGGGGATCCTGCAAACCCCAGCGGTGACGACCATCATGGACGCCGACGCCTCGCCCTCCTCGGGGCAGACGGGGGCGGCGGGGGCGGCCGCGGGGATGGGGGGATGGGGTCGCCGGAGGCGAAGAGGAGAGGGGAAATTGGCGGGGGCGTCGCATGCGGAGAAGGACCGGGGAGAAGTGGGGGAGGAAGAGGTTGCGGAGGAGGAGGAGGAGGAGGAGGAGGAGGAGGAGGAGGAGGAGGAGGAGGAGGAGGGGGGAGGAATGCCGCTGGGGCCTTCGGTGGGGCTCCCTACAAAGCCACGAAGCGTGTGAGGGGTGTGCCGACCCGGGTGCGGGTGCGCCATGCGGACCCCGCCGTTGGGGCCTTCGGTGGGGCTCCCACGAAACGTGTGAGGGGTGTGCCGACTCGGGTGCGGGTGCGCCATGCGGACCCTGCCGCTGGGGCCTTCGGTGGAGTTCCCTATGGGGCCACGAACGTTTGAGGGGTGTACCGAATCGAGCGCGGGTACGCCATGCGGACACTGCCGTAGGGATGGGTTTTCGATGGGTCCCGAAACGTGTGAGGGGTGTGCCGAGACAGAAACAGGCGGAGGGCATAGGCAGTGATGGGAGAAATTAGTGAGCAGGAGGAGGAGGGAGGAGGAAGGATGCGGGGCGCTATTTCTTCAAAACGAAAACCCAACACCACAGGATGGTTGGGAACATGAAGCTGACCCAGGCGGGCGGAGCGGGCGGACCCTGACGGGCGGGTCGGGGGGACGGGACATGGAAGCGGCAGCGAGTGCCGACTGTTGGCCCCCGAGGGCGGGTCGGGCGGGCGGGCTTCGACGGGCGGGTCGGGCAGGCGGGTCATCAAATTCCTAAGCAAATCGCGAAAAAACTCTTAGTCGAGATCGCGATTCCAGGGAAGCCTGCGAAGAATTCCCGAGCAAGAGCCCCATTTGGGGTAAACTGCAAGGGAGTCTCGAGCGAGAGCGCGATTCCTTGGTCAATGGACCGTCCTGAGTAAATCGTCAGGAAGTCCTCGGCGAGAACGTGACTACTGAATGTCGAGGGCGCGGCTCCTGGAAACATTGGAAGGACCTCCCACGCGACAACGCGATTCCAGGGTAAAGTGTAGGGACGCGGCCCGCGAGAGCGCGATTCTGTAATCGGTTGTGAGGGTATACGGCGGGAGCCGTTGTTGTAGTTGTTCGGGGGGCCGAATACTTCGTTTTGAGAGCCGAGGCTTTCCCTTGTAACTCAGCCTGGCGAAGGACCCAGCCGCATTCAGCTGCAAGCATCGCGGGGCAGGGGAAATGGAGGAGGGGGCCACCACAAGGACTGCGGCGTGACAGAAACAAGGAACAGCAGGCACGGGTTCGAGGGGGGCTGTTGTGTGTTGACCCGAACCCCGAATGCAACCCCTGTCGTGCCCACTTCCTTCCCAATTCTGTCGCCCGCCCTTGTGTCCGTTGTGCATTGCGGTCCTGCCCGCCTGGCGCCACGAAACGAAAAGGTGTTGCCGAATCGGACACTGCCGCTGGGGCCGTCGGTGGAGCTCCCTATGAGGCCACGAGAAGGAGGAGGAGGAGGAGGAGGAGGAGGAGGAGGAGGAGGAGGAGGAGGAGGAGGAGGGGGGGGGGGGAGGAATGCCGCTAGGGCCTTCGGTGGGGCTCCCTACAAAGCCACGAAGCGTGCGAGGGGTGTGCCGAATCGGGTGCGGGTGCGCCATGCGGACCCCGCCGCTGGGGCCTTCGGTGGGGCTCCCACGAAACGTGTGAGGGGTGTGCCGGATCGGGTGCGGGTGCGCCATGTGGGCCCTGCCGCTGGGGCCTTCGGCGGAGCTCCCCTATACTGCCCAAAACCGTGTGAAGGGGTGTGCTGAATGTGCGGGTGCGCCATATGGGCCCTGAAGATGGGGCCCTCGGTGGAACTCCCTGTGGGGCCACGAACCGTGTGAGGTGTGAGGGGTGTGAGCGGGTGCGCCATGCGGACCCTGCCGTTGGGGCCCTCGGTGGCTGCCATACTGTGCAACGAAGCGTAAAGGGTGTGCCTAAAAATAATGGGAACGAAGGCAGATGAGGAGGATGCTGATGATAATGATGATGATGATGATGATGATGATGAGGATGATGAGGATGGTGATGAGGATGGTGATGAGGATGATGATGACGATGCTTATGATGCTCATGACGATTACGATGCTGCTGATGATGATGTTGATGGTGATGAGAAGAAAGATGAGGATACGGAATCTGATCAGCCAGTCAGTCAGTGGGCTGTGCATCCTGAGGACGCGTAGGCAAAAGAGCACATAAAAAGTTAGGGTGGTGCGCCAAAAGCGTCCCACATGCAGTCAAGAGCAGCCCGCCAAACGCGAGGGTGGTGCGCCAAACACACGCACGAGTCACAAACTTGCAACTACTTCTTTTGCCCATTGTGCAGTGGACGGCGCCCCGAAAAATTGGGCCAACCGCCGTCGCAGAGGCCGACCAAGACAACAATGGGAATATGATCATGATGATGAGAATGCTGATGCTGATGCTGATGATGATGCTGATGATGCTGATAATGATGGTGATGATGAGGATGAGGAGGAGGACGAGGAGGATGAGGATGATTATGCTGATCATGATGCCGATGATGATGCTGATGATGACAATGTGGATGATGATGATGCTGCTGATGATGATGCTGATGATGGTGATGCTGATACTGATGATGATGATGAGGAGGAGGAGGAGGGGGAGGAGGAGGAGGAGGAGGAGGAGGAGAAGGATGAGGATGCTGAGGATGAGGGTGAGGATGGCGATGATGATGTTGATGGTGATGAGGAAATGCGGAGGGTAGAGGCAGGGAACTGCTGCTGCTGCTGCTGATGATGATGGAGATTATGGTGATAATGAAGATGATGATGGCGATAACGATGAGCATGCGGGATGGGAAGACGGAGGAGGCAGGAGGAGAGGAGGAAGAAAGAGACGCGGGAACTGTCTCTTTCAAAACGAGCACCCAACACCACAGGATGGTTGGGAAAAACATCATCGTCGGAGATCTGCCTTTACGCAAACTTTGACTCATTCGAACGGTTGTGCGCTGCCCCCCTCTCAACGGGCAGGGACGCGCGTTTGCGCAGCGGCGGCAACCCCCTCTCCGGGAGGCAGCAACTAAACTTGGCCAAGAGAATCGGGCCAAGCTGACCTCGAGAATGCTTCCTCCAAATTCATCCGTTACCACAACTTCTGGTAACGCTCTGGACGAACTGGTCGCCACCGACATTCGGTCTCCGGTCACGAATACTGGCAAGAGGCGAGCCGTCGACGTCGACCCCGACGCGCCGTCTCTTTGCTGCCGACACTCGACCCCCTCCGATTGCGACCCGATTTTGGCGCGACCGAAATCCGCTACGTACCGACTGTTTCTGGTCGCGGATGCCCTGGGCTTGCCTCTCCGATGAAGCCGATGATCTTCAGAGCGCTTGCTGGCGCCAGCGTGTGCCTGCCCGCCGAAGCCCTGCCATACGACGCAGGCGGCGTAAGGAGGTCCGACGCAGGATGCGTGCGATCGGGAGCTCAAATCGAGGGCAAGCCAGACAGGGCACGAGCGCGCTCTCGGGCAGGGCACAAGGAGAAGAGCACCCTACCGAAGGCGCCAGGTGCTCCGCTCCAGCCTAGGAGGTGCTCTGCTCCAACTGGGCGACGAAAAGAACCGGGTCTGACGCGAGATGACGTAGCGACCCTGCGCGGTGGCTTACGCGGGCCGCCCGCGCGGCACGCCACACTGGAGACGAGGGCGCTTACGCGAGACCTTACCTGTGCAGCTTACGCGCAAATGTCGGACGTAGCGACCTTACGCGGTGGCTTACGCAGGCCGCCTGCGCGGCACGCCACACTGGAGACGAGGGCGCTTGCGCGCGACCTCACGCGGGCAGCTTACGCGCAAATGTCGGACGTAGCGACCTTACGCGGTGGCTTACGCAGGCCGCCTATGCGGCACGCCACACTGGAGACGAGGGCGCTTACGCGCGACCTCACGCGGGCAGCTTACGCGCCAATGTCGGCGTAGACGACCCCGTTTTCTTTCGTCGCTCAACTGATGATCAGCGAGGGACGGGGCCGGGGGGCTCCTCCGCCAGAAAGTCGCCCGGGCAGTACAGCTGGACATCCGCGTCCTGGCTCCCGGCGGGCGGTACCGGAGCCCTCTCCAGCCGAGGCGCCGCAGCTTTCGACGCCCCCCGCCCCTTTTCGAGCTCCTTTGACGTCGATTTCCGCCCTACTTTCCCGTCGCTGCTTCTGCTATGCTTCTGCGGAGATGTCCACCCGATCTGTCTGATGTGGGAATTTCCGCCCTGCGTTTTCGCACTGTTTGAAATGCATTTCCGACACAACTCTAACTCGAAGAATCAACCAACGCACGGCGGATCCAGAGTCAGGGCCAGGGATCTCGACCAGTTCTCCGAGGCCAGCTTCTCCTCCTTAGCAATTTTTCGACTGTCCTGTAGGCCGAAAGCGACGAAAAACCGGCCGTCGCGATTGTTTTATTACCAACGCCTGGATCTGGGGGAGGGAGATGGGTGGGTGGGAAGGGCGCTGCATGCGAGCGCTGGGGATGCATCCGTCCTGGACGCGGAGATTCGGGATCCCCAAACGGTGCGGTGACGGGCCGTGCGGCGACGTCGAGATCCCCAAAGACCTCACTAACGGTCCATCACCGCACGGTGTTGAGACCTTGGAGACCCCATTCGCCCGAGACATCTTCAGAGAACGACCCAAGTCCCAAAAGCGTAGGGTCACCCCGAACCCCAACTGAAACACCACACGGTATGGTCACCGCACTGTGAGCTGGGAACGATTCGAGCAAGCGCGCCTTAGACGAGGCAACCGCCAGCGGCGCCAGAGCGGAGAAGGATAGAGATGACTCCTGCAGTCGCGGCGATGCTCAAAGAGTATCGCTGGGGGAGGGCGAGGGGGACAAAGGGTGGGGGCGAGGGGAGGAGGGCGGAGGAAAGGGGGGAGGACCAGGACCAGGAAGGAGGAGCATTCGAACAACGAGGGGAGGGGGGCGGCCGAAGAGATGTTGAATGGGAAGGAGAGGGCAGGAGTGTTGGCCGCCAGCAGAGCTTTGCAGTTTGCTGACGATTCTTTTCCAAGCTACTGCCTGCAAGATCGTTAGTCTTCTTTTTCTCTAGTGTGTGCTCCCCCTCACCTCTCCATCTTCCCGAGATAGGAAAGATCCTGTGCGAGGAAGGATGCAGAGTTTTGTGGGGCACCAGTTTGCTGATGTCCGAGACCGTTTTGGACCTGGAAGGGGAGGTACGCGAGGACTCGTTGTATCTTTCTCGATGCGCCACCTTACTGTCTGACAAAGAGTCTGCCGAAGTGACCCCCCTCCCCATTCGCGACTGTTGCACCGCTGCGGATCCATACGTGGCACGCTTGTGTGAGAGCTCCGAAAAAAACGATGTGAGACCGTGCGCCCGCTGGGAGGCAACCTTCGTCGACCCCTGATGTCGTTCTTCTACTCGCCCACACTGCTTGTCTGGACCCGCCTACCTTGCCTTGAATTCCCCCCATGCTTGGAATCGGCAGTGAACTCAGATGTCGTTATACTCTGAGTGAGTGAGTGGGTGAGTGAGTGAGTGAAGAGGATGAGGAGGGGCAGGACCAGTGTAAACCCACTAATCATCAACGATGTTGGAATTAAGCCTCCCTCCAAGCTCCCTCTTCATAGGCCACTACATCGGTTCATTTCCATTCTGACTCGTTGGAAGACATCCGTTTGAAGATCCTGAAGCATGCCAAAACATTGTTCTCGGGACTTCAATGCCACGTATCAACCTGACTGCTGCGTTTTGGCGATCCTTCGTGCCATAACGCCATTTGTTTATTTCATCACCTGGGGCTAACATAACTGTTGCGCCCGCATAATCCTGAATTCTTCCAAGACGCCATTTTTGGTACGCTGAGCATGGGAATCCGTGAAACTCTTGCAAATGTTTACAACGAATGTGCGCGGCGCTACGGCGATAACCACATTTTGAAAACCACCCGCCCTCAATCCGCGAAACTCTTGCAAGTGTGTAAAACGAACATGCACGGCGAAGGCGAGAGCCACCTTTTGAAAACTACCCGCCCTCAATCCGTGAAACCCTTGCAATGTTAAAAACTAATGTGCGCGGCGCTAAGGCGAGAGTCACATTTTGAAAACCACCCGCCCTCAATCCGCGAAACTCTTGCGAATGTTTAAAACGAAGATGCGCGGCGCTAAGGCGAGAGCCACATTTTGAAAACCACCCGCCCTCCATCTGTGAAAGTGTTGTCGCTGTTTAAGCTTCAGAAACATAAATGGTGAGGAAGTCTAAGGCGAAACGCCCGGCCCGCCCTAAAAACTGGCCTCGGGGTGCGACAGGGAGGAGAAAGACGACGACGACGACCCCTGGCCTTGTGCACCCTGGACAGGAAAGCCTTGCTCGCGGCCGTGCAGAAGGCGGGGATCCGCTGCAGCAGCCGCCAGTCGGCCTCCCAGACTCGGGGCGCCAAGATTGCGGGGGGGGAACATTTGAGGGAGGCTCAGCTGGAAAGCATAAGGACATACTAATACTATGTGCCTGAGGTGCACGTCCTACCCGAACATCTCGTACAACATCTTGTCGTCTATCGTGTCCCGAGCGGTATGGACAGAAAGTCCCCGCCATGGAGCTTGTACCGTAAGATTCCTGGACGTGCGCGTCGCTCTTGCGTGGCCGACGCACATGTTGTACAAGAAATACGTGGCGAGGTGTCTGCAGCCAAGCGTACGTTTTCAGTTTACGTGTTGAGCCACGTGCCAACACGCTCCAGGCTTCGTGTTGCGCATCAGGGCAGCTCAGGAGGGAAGCACCGCAAAGCGCAGAGCAATCGGACCCGATGGCTTCCCGACCTACGAGACAATAAAAAGAAACGTTTGGTTCTGAGCAGCTTGTAGAAGAGACTTCCCATTGTGAGGGGGCCCTGTAGGTGTGGGGGCGCCGAAACCTCAAGACAGCCCCATGAGGTTTATCCCGTGGCCGTTCTCATGACATCACCTTCTCTACAAATCTTAGCTGGGAGGGAGGGGGGGTAGCGAGGAGAGGATACCCTGCGCTTCTCAAGACTGGCGGCGCGCACAAAGCGAGCGGCCGTCTCAGAAGGGGAACGTCTCAGAAAGACCTGGAGCCTTCTAAGGAGGGGAAGCCGAGCGGGAACGGAGGAGTACGGTTGCGAGGCAATACCCGGGGTGTCTTCGTGTGGTGGACCAAAATTACCAAGTCAGAGAAAACACACACATTCTGGCCAGATTGGCCCAGGATCAAGCCCGATCAGGCGGAACCTCACCAGCCCGCTGGGCATACAGTCATCGTGCGACCATAGGGAACGCCAGATAAGCAACAAACGGTTGATGGACAAAATCCTGCACCAACTGCGCAACCGGGGCGACGGCGCAAACTTCCACGCGCCCCCCTGCCCCCGATTCATTGCTGATTGGCTGCGCCCGCGGGGTGCAGGATCTAGGCCAGTCGGCAGATCGACGGATCGCGCCACAGCCTGTCGATATCAAATTGGGGGCGCGGGGGGCGAAAACAGACATCGGAAAACAGGGTGCCGGATTTTTTGTGTCCACCCTCCGCAGGGGCCGCTCTGGCCCCGGCGAGCCTCGGCCACGAGAGGGCCCCCGACCTCTGCCTCCGGAGCGGGGCCCGAGCGCCGGAGCCCCTGCCGGAGCCCAGGGCGTCCCCTCTCTCAGGCTCCTCCTCCTCCTCCTCCTCCTCCTCCTCCTCCTGCTCCCCCTCTTCCTCCTCCTCCTCCTCCTCCTCCTCCTCCACCTCCTCCTCCTCCTCCTCCGTCTCCTCCGTCTCCTCCTCTCCCTCGTGTCGTACACGCTCGCCTGGCACACATCCCAGGGCACGTCGGGACCGTCCCCCCGCCGCCTCCCCCAGCCACGTGAAGCGCCCGCCCCCCGCCGCCTCCCCCGCGGACACCGGCCTCTCCAGCCGCCCCCTCCTCTCCAAGGGAGGGAAGGGGGTCGGAAGCGCCCCCTTCCCCCCTGTCCAAAGAGGGGGGGATTCGAGCAGAACAGCCCTCCATCCCCTCAATAGAACCCTATTCGTGCTCGATCAAGCTCAAGTAGAATCCGCCTAAAACTGGATACACCTTGAATGGCATCCTAGCCAGGCTCGGTCCAACTCTCATGAAGCCCTACTATAGCTGGATCCAGCCAGACTTGAATCCTATTAAGGCTCGATCTGGCTCTAAAACAACTCCACTATAGCCGGATTCAACTTTAATATCACCCTAATCGGGCTAGACCCAACTATGATAGACCCCTGCTACAACTGAATCCAGCTCTAATTGAATCCTACTGAGGCTCGATTCATCTCACGTGGAGTCCTATTATAGCTGAATTCAGCTCTACTTGAATCCTAGGGCTCGATCCAACTCTAAAAGAATCCGCCGACCCCTGAGGTTCCGTCGGCGTGCGAGATGTTTCCTCTTCCTTCAACCTTTTCCCCGGTAGCCCGGTCCGGTCGATTTGGAGGGGGGGCGGGGTCCCGCAGGGATCAGGCGGACGCGTCACGGGGGGGCAGAGGGCCCCAACAACAGGCCGAGAGGGCACCAAGAGGCCCTCTGGACGGTCCAAGAGGGCCACGCATCGCCGAAAGAACGATCGACAACGCGCACGCTGGCCTCCAGGCGGCCCAAGAAGGCTCTCAGACGACCCAAGAGGGCTCCCAGACCGCTCAAGAAGCCCCAAACAACAGGCCAAGAGCGCACGGTCCAAGAGGGCCACGCATCGCCGTGAAAGAACGATCGACAACGCGCACGCTGGCCTCCAGGCGGCCCAAGAGGCCCCCAAGCCGCCCCAAGAAGCCCTCAAGAGGCGTCCCAAGACGGCATCAAAGAGCAAGCATCTCGCCATCTGCATGGGAACACCTCGAGGTTTAGCACATTCGCCTCTTCTGCGATCACACCGTCCAAGACAGCCCAAGAAGCCTCCTGGGTCGCCACAGGACGGGCCAAGAGGCCCCCAAGAAGGCTCTCAGACGACCCAAGAAGGCTCCCAGACCGCTCAAGAAGCCCCCAACAACAGGCCGAGAGGGCACCAAGAGGCCCTCTGGACGGTCCAAGAGGGCCACGCATCGCCGAATGAACGATCGAACACGGTCGCGCTGGCCTCCAGACGGCCTAAGAGGCCCGCAGGCCGCCCCACGAAGCCCTCAAGAGACGTCCCAAGACGGCCTCAAAGAGCAAGCATCTCGCCATCTCCATGGGAAAACCTCAATGTTTAGCACATTCGCCTCTTCTGCGATCTCAACGTCCCAGACAATCCAAGAACTTGGAACTCATTTGTCTGGGCTTCCGGGATCTCCTCGCCGCCATGGTAGAACTCCCCTCGAGAGCTGTGGTCAGAGCGCATCCCAGGACAGGCCTCATGGGTCGATGATCCAGGGAGCGGGGATGGGGCCAGGGGGCCAGCTCGGGGGGGGGGAAACATGGATCTTGAATCGGCGATACATCGCCAATAGATCGGCGACAAGCATCCGATAGCGGATCCTCACGTTGCTGGGCGGGGTGGGCTATCAAGCCTCTATCGGCGATGAATAAGTGATTGCAGGTCGATGCAGCCCCCCCTGGCCCTGTCCCCCCCCCTACGTTTGCTCCCGAGTGGAGAGACGGAAGCCAGGGAGGGGTGGAACGAGGAGGTGGAGAGTGCGGGGAGGGGGTGGGAGGAGAACGGGGAGGGAAAGGAGAGGGCGGAGGCAAGGAAGGAAGGATCGATCCTCCTCCTCCCCCTCCTAATCCCCCTCGTCCTCTTCCTCCTCCTCCTCCTCCTCCTCCTCCTCCTCCTCAGGACGATTGCCAAAAACGTGTCCCTGTCCCAGAGCGTCTCCAACTAGTCGAACCGATTTGGAGCCCCTGGGGTCCTCTGGGCCGCGTGAGGGGTGCTCTGGAGGCCATCCTGGGCGTCCCGGGACGTCCAGGAGACAGACACATTGGGCTAGGGGCACTTTCGGCAATACTCGAACAGGAAGGAGCGGAGAAACCAATGATTGTTTTTGGCATCCACGCGAATACAGCCTACATACACCCCCCAGAGGTGGGCGAGCCCTCTGAGGGGCGACTATGACTTCCACATATACACAATGAAAACAACTCAAACAGAGGAGCCCAAGCCAGCTCACACGCAACTGCACTGAAACGACGGCGACCACTGCACAAGCACAGCACCGGCTCGAGCACGCAGGCAGACGCCAACGATGCTGCAATGAGCCCCCAAGATGCTAGCAAGACGGCCCAAGAGGGCCTCAAGAGGATTCCAAGAGGGGCCCATGAGGGGGGACACGAACAGCAATTCCAAGCCCTCTGCCCCGAGAGGCCCATGACTGCTCACGCAACACTTCAAGGAAACTGCTATCAACCATCAAGGCCGCAATGGCAACGCACACGCAGACAAACGCCCGCGACGGAATAGTCTTGTCCGGCGGAATGAGCGAAGCGATCAAATAATGAGAGAGCGGGAAGCCCAAACAGGGCAAAATACGGCGGCCCGAAAGCCTGGATCGTCGATGCCCGAAGCTCAACGGCGACGAAGAAGACGAAGACTGATACAGTCATCGCGCTACCACCAGGAAGAGAGAATCAAGGAACGAAGGGGCTTTGCCAGGCACGGAGAGCCTCGGTCACGAACAGGTTCCACGACATAGATCTAGGGAGCAGCCCGAAAACCATAGCCCCGCTTGAGGCTCCACCGACCTGATTTTTTCAATCCGCGGCCCCAGAACTTCCCGTTTTTCGTCCTGGATCCGCTTTCGATGGTCGGGGCCGAAATCTAAGAAGAAACGCCAGTTGCAAAAGTCATATCGTCGGAGAACTGGGAGACGGGAAGGACGAACAAGACGAAGACGACGAGGACGACGAAGAGGACGACGAAGAAGACGCCGAGGAAGACGACGGACGACAAAGACTAGAGACGCCAACAATGGGGTTCGACCTAAACCGTATTGTCTGTTTTCGCGCTGATTTTGTTTTTGTCCCCCCTCGCTCCGTTTTCGCTCCGCCTTTGCTGCAACACTAAATCAAAACGAAAACGGCCCACGAGATCGCCAAAAACACAACTTTAAATTACTCGCGATAACACCCATGACCGGCCCCGCCCTCCCCCCTCCCCCTGGTCACGTCACGATTCGCGCTGGCGTCGTCTGGAAATGAGCCGTTCCAGAGGCGGTGTCGGCGCGAATCGTGACGTGACCGACGCCCCCCCCTTCCCCTACCCCTCGCGTCACGCCTGCTATCGCCTGGGGGAAGAAAGGTTGTCTAGACGAAGCCCGCACGAAAACGGCCCGCGAAGTCGCCAAAGCACCGGGCGGACCGTTTGGGCCGAGCCCTGTGCCACAGCTGCGCGCTGGGGCCGCCGCGCGCCGAGAGGAGGGGGAGAGTCACGCGCATGGAGGCCTCGCTCGCGTCCACGAGGTCATCCCGGATCTCTTGGAGGTGACCTGGCCACGAGGGCGGCGAGCTTAGATGATGTTGAGACGGCTGGGGGCGCTGTCGTTTCTCATCTTCCGGATCGACGATGTTCTTAGCTTTTTGGGCCCGTTTTTGTTTCCGTCTTGGGCAGTATTGGGGGTTCATTGTTGTCTCCGTTTGGTGTATGCACATATAATATTGAGCAGCGGATATATCGGCGTTCTGATGCCCTGTGTGCTCCGTTGAAAACAACGAAATAACAACGCACCGCGCCTCAAGACTCGCGGGTCTTGCTCCCTCCGCCTGCCTCCTGCTCTGCCTCCTCCTCCGCCTCCCCTTCCCCCGCCCTCCTCGTCGTCGTCGTCGTCGTCCTCCTCCTCCTCCTCCTCTTCCTCACCCTCCTCTTCTCCCTCCTCCTCCTCCTCATCAACATCATCGGCATCGGCATCGCCATTGTCTTTTTCACCGTCGCCATCCTCATCCTCACCAGCACCATTGCCGTGGCCGCGGATCCACGGGATCCCGCGGCCCGAGCGCTCTTGGCTCTGGGTGCTCACCGCGGGCGGCGGAGCGCGGCAGCCGCCCGTGGCGGCCGAGCCCGAGGCGCTCCCTTTCGGGCGTCCGACGGCCCGGGATGGCCATGCATGCTCCCAAGACTGCCCAAAGGCAATCCAAGAGGCCTCCAAGATGGCCCAAACTGGCCCAGTACAGCCCTGAGGCAGCCCGAGAGGCTCCCAAGACGGCCCAGGAGATCTGCAAGACGGCCCTGAAGCGCCCCTAAGAGGGCCTCAAGTCGGCCCCGAGAGGCCCAGGACGGCTTCCGACGGCGTCAGATGGATCAAGAACGCCTTCAGACGGTCAAACGATGTCAAGAGGGCACCCAAGAAGCCGCCAAGTGCTCCCGAGTGCCAGGGCCCCCACTGGGGCCGCATCCAGCAGAGTTGCCAGACTGGGAGGAGGATGGGGAAGCACATGGGGGGGAGGTGGAGAATGGGGCCCGAAGCGAGGGGGGGATGGGGGCGAGAGGGCACATAGGAAGGAGAGGAGAATAGAGCCCGAAGCGAACAAAAAAAACGGGGAAAAAGAGGCAGAAACCCGTCTCACCTTGGAGCGAGGATGGCTCTGACCCATCCTCGCTCCAAGGGCCAGCCACGCCCCGAGAGCAGACTTCGCTTCCAGGTCGGCACCGAGAGAATCCCAAAACTGCCCAGGACGGCGCCAAGACCGGACCGGATCCAATCCTGCTTCACGATTGCCCAATGTGCCGTCCCGGGACGATCAAATGGTGGCCTTAAGACGGCTCAAGACTGCCCAAGACGCCCCCCCTTAATGGTGATGATTGTGATCGTGGTGGTGATGATGCTTACGGGGGTAATGATGATTGCAACGGCGGTGAAAATGATGTTGCGTATGAGGATCATGGAGATGATGGCGGCGTCGGCGATGATGGTGATGATGATTTTGGTGATGATGATGATGATGATGATGATGATGATGACGATGACGATGATGATGATGATGATGATGATGATGATGATGATGATGATGATGATGACGATGATGATGATGATGATGATGGCTGTGATGATGGCTGTGATGGTGGTGGTTATGATGGCAACGAGTTCGACAGGGAATCGGTATGTTCACAATTATGTTGAACTAGAACCACGCGCGCGCTTCGCGCGCGCTTAGGTTCTAGCTAGGATCATTCTCGCTGGGAGTTTGACGTAGCTTCTCGGGAGCCTCTGAACCTGTCGGGGGCCTCCTGGAAGCAGGTTCGAAGCATTTTGGGGGCCGATTTGGGGCTTCTCGGGGCCTCCTTTGGGCCTCTTGGGGGTCTCCTGGGGCCTCTTGAGGGGCCTCCTTGGGGCCTCCTGGCGGCCTCTTGGGGCGGAAGGCTCGAGCTTGCGGTTCGTGGTCCCCCTCTGGGCCCCCTCTTGGGCCCGTCTTGGGGCCCTCTTGGGCCATCTTGGGCGCCTCTTGGGCCGTCTTGGGGCCCTCTTGGGCTGTCCTGGGGCCCTCTTGGAAGCTTCTTGGGCCGTCTTGGGGCGGTCTTGGGCGCCTCGTGGGCCGTCCTGTAACGTCGGAAAGCCCAAAAAGCAACTTTGTGAAAATGTACGTTTTACGAAGGGAATGGGCCAATTTTTGCGTCTAGGGGCCCTCTTGGGACGCATGTTGGAGGCTTCTTGGGGCCTCTTGGGGGCGTCCTTGGACGTCTGGAGGCCATCTTCAGCATCTTGGAGCCCTCTTGGAGGCCTCTTGGAAGTTTCTTGGGCCGTCTTGGGCGCTTCTTGGGCCGTCTTGTCTGACCGGGGAGGCCTCCGGCAAGCCCCGACGAGCCTCCGGGCCCCCCGGGGCCCACATTTGTGGTCGAGGTCCCGGCCCCGGGCCCCCAGACCCGGTGCGCCATTATATGTATAAGCTGCCGCCATGTGGTGCGCAGTAGCCCTCTGACCGCCACTCTCACCCCACAATCGGTCCTGGGCAAATACCGCTTCCAAGACTGGACCAACAATGCTTCCACGGCGGTTATGGTGATGGTGATAACGGTGGTGCTGATATGTCCAAGACGGCCCACAAACCGGTCATGGTGGCGATTGGTGATGGTGGTGGTTGCGATGATGATGGTGATGGCGACTATGGTGGTGATGGTGGTGTGATGACGATGATGGTGGTGATGACGCGAATGGTGGTGATGATTGTATACACTTCTATATGTATGCGTGTCATCCTTGCGGTGGCCATGCTGACCTTCTCTGTATCGTTCCAATCTTACGTGTGATCCCCGAAGGGAATTCACGCTGATGGTGGTGATTATGATATGCTGATTTCACGCATCCCCCTGTTCATCCTCCCCTTTCGCCTTCTCCGCTTTTTCCTCCTGCCCGCCCCCGGCAGGTGTCTTCACGCGCCTGCCCACGCCACCAAAAGAACGGGAGGAGGAGGAGGAGGAGGACCAGGAGGAGGTGGAGGAGGAGAAGGAAGAGGAGGAGAAGGGGGAGGAGGAGGAGGGGGAGGAGAAGGGGGAGGAGGAGGCGGCGGAGGAGGAGCGGAGGAGAAGGCGCTGGTGGTAGTTTTGAGCGCTCCTCCTCCTCCTCCTCCTCCTCCTTCCTCCTCCTCCTCCTCCTCCTCCTTCTGCTCGTCGTCTTCCTTGCCCTCCTCCTCTTCCTCCCGACTCCATTCCTCCCCCGTTCTGGTGGCATGGGCAGGCGCGCAGAAGCACCCGCTGGGGGGGGGGAATGCGACGAGGGAGGGGCGGAAGCGGAGGAGAGGGACGGTGAAGGAGGGGGGGGGGGGGGGGGAACGTGGGCAGCTCTCGCTCGCATGCCGACGTTTCCTGGGGACCCTCATGGGCTTCTGGAGGCGGGCGTTGTTTTATTCGGCACTTCGACATTGGGCGGAGGGGGGGAAGGGGGGGGGTCTGGCTCCGGACCCCTGCTTAGTGCGACTGTTTGCAACAGGGCGCCCTTTGTGGGGGAGACGCCACTGGCTCGAAACTGGCGCCCCGAACAGCCATGATCTACTCATTCGGGGGGGGATGCGAGGGCCCGCGCCGATCGCCAAAACAAAAAATCAAAAAACTAGCACGAGCGCCGTCGGACCTGCTATCTTGTTTAGGCGACGAGCAAGGGGGGAAATAAGAAGGAGAAGGCCCTCTCCGAAGGCGGCGGGGCTCCTCAGAAGCCCTCGCGCCTTCTGAAATCTTCTGAAAAAGGTGCTGTGCGTTTTCGGGGAAGGCGCAATTACGCTACCGAGGAACCCCGCATACTTCATTTAAATATTATGCGTTTGCTCTTCATCATCATACATGCGCAATCCTGCGTTCTAAACCCTCGTCGCGAATGTTGCCCTATATTGTCATCCAACACACCACTGAGTGAACCTCCTCCCTCTTCCCCGCTGTCTATCCTTCATCGGGGACAAGTTCAAGGTGGTCACCGAGGTCCGTTTCCTGGGCTCGCAACAACCAATAAGGTGATGCCAAACGATTTGCCACAGCTCGAGCAGTCAGGGGGCCCACTTTGGAAGTCGGCGCAAATCACACCCCCTCGCCCCATGCTGCGTTCTCCCGCACCCCTGCCTCCCTTTCTGCCCTCGGTCGGTCTACTCTTTCTAATCTCATGCAGTTTCCACGCGTCTGTCGCCGCGTCTCTTCGACGGAGAGTCTCTAAGGTGTGCGCGCAAAAGACTTGCATAGCAAACGTGATACGCCTGCGTGCGATATGCGAATGCCCTTCGATGGAAAATCTCGGGGCGATGGTTGCCACGACGACCAAAGCTGGGCGGACGCTCCGAAATCTTCCAGGAGCGGCACGGGCCGCGCGAATTCGACGCGGCTGGACAGCGCTGCCTTTGTCGGAAAGACTCTGGCGGCCGTGCGCTCCGACGACCTCACGCCGCTGGCAAGATCCAGTGGCGTTTCAGAGCGAGGGCCTCGATCTCCCGCGTCTCCGTGGCCATGCGCTCAACGAGCTTCAGCAGGGCTTTGAGCACGGACGGAGGCGGGCCTTTCTGCAGGACCTCCCTTGGCGGCGGCCGAAGTAAGAGCATATCGTCCATGCAAGTGGCTCTGCTGAGCATCACGTACAAGCTCAGCCACCATTTATCCGCTCTCTCCTCTGGTCTGCCTATGCTCGTGTCCTGCGCGCAGTCGATGGTCACTCCGGCGCGGATCGTCTGACCCTGTGACGCGGTGGACGTCAGGAAACGCCCGTGCGTGAGCGCGTACCCGAACCTCTTGACCCGGTGCAGAAAGACCACCACCTGCCCCCCCCACGATGTCGAAAAAATGCCATTCCTGCTATGCCCAGGACGACCGTCACGGATAGCGGCCGCACTCGGGCATCACATCACCCCCTGCGCACCCCCCATGGTGCCGTGAGAGACCACCCCCTGCGCACCCCCTATTATGGTGCCGAGAATATGCCATGCCTGCTGTGCCCTGGACGACCGTCACGGATAGCAGTCGCGATGAGAGACCACCCCCTGCGCACCCCCTATTATGGTGCCGAGAATATGCCATGCCTGC